GAAACAAAAGAAAATAATCTGGAAACAATATTGTGCATGATATTACCAAGTCAAAGAATTGAACCACAAGATGTTATGGGGGTTTAATCTGTATTAGGCATAGGAGAAAATGATCTAATTTACTATTGAAGCTTGCCAATAAATTACTGGCTCTACTGTACATATTTTATTTATTTTTTAGTTAACTGAGTCCACCAGTATATTGTGTTTGATTTCCTGCCTAAGAAATATTTTCGTTTTAATCTACAACCAATATCATTGGGGTGTGGTAACATGTTTTATAGTACTATACAGATAAATCTTGTATAACTCTTAATTTAAAATGAAGTGATCAGAAATAATCCAAAAATAACACTTACACTGAAAGTCTCTCTACCTTACCTGTACATTAGTGTGGTACCAGCTTTTCATGGAAAGAAAGACAGACTTCCTATAGAACTCTTCTGAGAACTTTCCATGTAATAAGATATACTTCATTATCAATGTTCCAACTTCCTTAGCTCTTTACTTTTTAGACTTGCATCTTAGGAGTCTTAGGATTTTTCCAAATCTAGTCTTTACATTATATTAAAGTGTAATAAGAATTATAAGAATACTTTAAAGGTCTGAATGCAGCACTCACTTTGAGCGCTGCATACAGCTCATCTGTCAGTCACTAAAAATGCTTCCAGTAACAGTTGATACCTGGGTGTCCCTGGTGTGAGTGGGAATTTAACAGTGTTAATGCCCTTTAAATGTGTAAAAAAATTAAAGTAAACTCTATGTAGGACAGCATGGAACTTCATAATGTTGTGAAAAAGGGATAAAAAGCTATTATACAAAATACAAAATCTGCAACTTGTGTTCCTGCTTCTTCAACCATATTTTTGCCTTTTATCATAACATTCATTTTCGGTTTAATCTAACATTTATTTTGCTATTATCTTATGTTTAGAGCCAGTGGAGAAGAATGTATATTTTAGAGTCTAACTGATCCTCCTTAGCTTAGAAAATAATGTTTTCTTAAAGTCCAGATGTCCACAGCTTGTTGTCACATGTTTATAAAATAAACAGATAGATAAATAAATGTTACAAAAGCAAAGAATAATGAAAGGCATTGGATTTTTTCATGTAAACTGTTTCTGAGTTTCATATTCTTGGTACTTATTCGTGAGTTCACACCGTATTTGTTTCTGTATTTTGCTATGAAATTTCTAATGCAAAAATGACAATGATATGGTGATATACAAAGGAACATCTCAAAAAGAAACCCAGATGTAGAGATCTGTATATTGGTGCTAATTTATATGATGTCTATATTTCATAAAGAAAAAGAAATTTGAATTCCAATACTACATTTTAATTAGTACATATATTACTATATTACTTGGGTGTTTATTTACTAATCTAAATATTGTGGACACTTGGCCAATATATTTTGAGCCAGAATAGTCAGTTTGAAAACACTATACAACTTACAGAACCTAAAATTATGAGGATAAATCGGAAGCTAGTAGTAGTATAATATAAACATTCTATATTCGTTGAAATACAACTAAAAGTCAAATAACCATAGAACATAGTCCAAGTTCATGAGATACAGTCAAATTAGCTCTCTATTTCTCCCCAGTCCCACTGTGTGAGGTAAAATGTAAAAGTATATAACAGGTTTAACAATCTTCACAAAAAAAAAATTCATTTATAGTGGTTTCTATAAAATGTAGCAATATGTGACGCAAGCTGGAATGATCACAAAGATGGTGTGATATTGTAGTACTGTTATATAAAATAATCACTATTTTCAGTACAAATCTCAACAATGTATCTTCAAGGTAGCAAATCCTTAGGGAAAATTGTGGGTCAGATATAAGATATCTGAAAAAACAAGAGAGAGAAGCATAGTGCTCTCTGTTAAACTTAATGTGTATTGAACACATTGATTAAAAACACTCATAGAGTTTCCACTAAAGAGTGCTTGTCGAGGGCTAAGAATTTTTAAACGCATGTCCTAAAAGAATAACGATAACAATATCTGTATAAAATGAGACCAATTGTTAGACAAATATTCTTGCTCTTAATGGTATTTATATTAAATGAATAGAAGAAGATTTGGAACAAATAGAAATGGAAATTAGTAAATTCAAGGAAGCACCAGTACCTAAGGTTGAAAGTGGAGCATATGCTGAGTTACTTGATAAAATTAAAAGATGGGTCACAGATCTTGAAGAAAGTATCATAGAAAGAAAAAAAGAAGATTTTGAGAGATAAGGATGATTATCATACTTACAAACAGAGATCTTGGATAAAAAAAAAGGTGGGGCACAGACACTGTCAGAATTTCTCAGGGAGAATAGGATCAACTTATAAAAATGCACTTATAATAAAGAGATATGAGTCACTCCAACCATAGAAATCAGCAAAACTGGTGGTTTCCCAGGGAAGGAATAACAGATAGGAGATCTCCAATCTATGAATAGATTCTATTCCCACTCCAAGACTCATCCACATACTGTATCACAGAATTAGGAACACCTCTGGGATGAGGACAGAGGGATCCAGACCAATGGTGAACACTCTATAGGGACCTCTGAATAGGGGAAATGTTTTAGAGAAGAGGAGGGGGTATTTATATTTCCAATTTCCTAAAGAAGACCAGTCACATCCAGTAACCCACACACTGAGGAAATGGCAAAGAAGAGAAGAAGGAGACGAAGAACCCTCAAATGTGGTGACCATCTGGAGGTGAAGAGGAGGAGATACATATTTTCAAAATATCAACCAGACTCTCAGTAACCATGAAGTTGCAGTACTTAAGAAAATTCTTAAATGGGGGGCGGAGCCTGACCAGCATGGCATCCAGACATGCTTAATCTGAGTTCCTCACAAAAAGCCTGCAAAAGCAGCTTTTGTAGTGGGATTAACTTTTCAAACAACTCCTAAACACTTTCTAACCTGTTAGATTGTCAAAAAAAGTAGAAACTTAAGTGATACAAAACAAGACTGCTAGTTTCAAATGTGGAGCGCTTAATAAAATAATAGTCTCAACATTTATCCCTAATGGTTAGGTCCGGCACATCTAAACTACAAAAAGATAGACAAATAGACAAGATAGACAAGTATTACTAATTAACATATGTGGGATATATTCACATAATGGGCACACTCACGTGGATCAGAGACAGTTCGGATAGGCTCAAATCATAGGTGACACAAGCACCTCTTCTTTCCTTCCATAAGCCAGGCGGGAAGGGGGTGCCGAGACCGTCGGCTGGGAAGCAGTTAGATTTGTTTATGTGTTGCTATGGCAACCTGCTGCGAGAGCCTTGCCGGGCGGGGGAGTATGGAAACCTCTAAAGGAAAAGAATGCACCTACGATCGCACTGAGAATCTGCTGGTCTAGTGACATAACATAAAGGGAAAAGGGGAGAGGGGATGATGTTTAAAGGGACAAGGAAGGTGAAAATTAGCCAATCCTTATCAGGAAACAGGTTCTAGGAAGGACTAAGCATGGGGAGAACGTGTGAAGAGGAGAGCTCTGGGGTAGTGGATTCGATGGGGGGGTACCCATGGGTTATGACATGGGTAAATGGGGCCAGGACCAGAATAAGTCTTGCTGCCTAATGGCTTAAAGGAGTACTAGGGAAGAGCTTACTCCAAGGTCAGTGCTACACTGAGGATGTGTATATATAGGAAAGACAAGTCTTATCCCTAGTAGGCACTAAATAATGGTTTGTGGTGCTGATAGAGTTAAAGGGAAAGCAGGACTATTGTAGGGATCCCTTTGCACAAGATGGGCATATATTTCTAGTATGAATACACACATTAGATATCGACAAAGGTAAAAAACAACGCAGATCATGTTAGCTAATTCCGCATGCTGTGTTTAGATAGTTAGCTCACTGAGCCTAAGATGGATGTGCAGTACCTGGTTGCACTATGGTAGCATGTCTAGCATAATGTTACAAGGTGCCTAATAAACATCCACATACCATATGAAAAAACATCAGTAGGTATATGCATGAGTATAAACTTATGTCTGCAGTTGGATGGAATAAATCTAACATATCATGCATAATGTCCCCTAGTACATAATTAACATCCACATCACATGTGAAACAACCATAGTGATTACAATAATTACATGCATGAATATATACACAATAATGCTTACTAGGGAGAATGACTGATATGTAAATCATAAGTTTAAGACCTTGATATAAGCAAGGGAGAGTAATCCTCTTGCCGGAAGGCTAGATATGCATAAACAAATGGAATGACTAGTAGACAATATGGGGCTATGATCCTGCCCTAAGAATGTCTATTGAGCGTTGATCAAATGAAGATGCCCAGTGTGTACTTTTCATTAAGTCCTTTAGGTTGTACTGTGTCAAGTGTTCTGATCCAGTGTAGCTCCCTCTGTAATAGGAGCTTTTTCCGGTCACCACCACGTATAGGTTGTGGGATATGATCGATTGCCTGGAATTTCATTGTGGGAAGAGGATGATTAAACTCCAAGAAATGTTTAGCCACTGGCAGTTCTGAGCCTTTGTCTCTGTAGGCTACCCGTATGCTAGAACGGTGATTACGTATTCTCTCACGTAGTGGTAGGTCGGTCTTCCCCACATACATTAGACCACAAGGGCACCCCAGTTTATATACCACAAAGTCGCTTGTGCAGGTAAGTCTATGTCTTATGAGGTATTTTTTGCCTGTGTGGAGATGGGTAAAGGATTTGCTAGGGATCATGTGGCTGCATGTTACACAGCCTAAGCATCTGTAGCATCCCAGGTTCTGATGTGTATTAGGTTGGCTGTAGCAGTGTGTGGGGTCAGTTTTGACCAGTAGGTCCCTTAGATTACTTCCTCTCCGATAGCACATCATTGGGCGCTGCTTAAATTGTGCTGGTAGGCTTGTGTCGTTCTGTAGCATTCTCCAGTTCTGGTCAACTGACCGTTTAATATCATCCTATATTGTTGTGTATGTAATAGGATCAGTCTGTCGGTTTTTGCTGTGCTGTGTACCGGTGCTCCATAGCATCTATCCAATGCCTTTGTTAAGTCTCTTGGGTTGTAGCCTCGTGACAGGAACTTATTCCACACTGTTTGTAGTTGGTGCTGGGTGTTAACTGCGTTAGAGTTGTTACGTATCACCCTCATGAATTGTGACTGTGGGAGTGAACTGATAAGGTGTTTAGGATGGTGACTTTTGGCATGAAGGAGAGTGTTACTGTCTGTTGGTTTACTGAATAGCGTATATGCTATTCTGCCTTCTTCCTGGTATAAACGAACATCTAGGAAGTCAATCTGTTTGTCACTTGTAGTCATTTTGAGACGAACTGGTGTGTCCAGGCTGTTGATAGTGTTGAGCATTTCATTTGGGGTAGGTCCTACGTTCTTCCAGATGATGAAGATGTCATTGATGAAGCGACGATAAAACAGTATGCTGTCATGAAATGGTGTAAGTATCTGTTCTTGCTCAAATATGTACATGTAGCTGTTGGCATACATCGAGGCCATGGCGGCTCCCATTGAAGTCCCCGCGATTTGTTTGTACCAAGTCTGTTCAAATCTGAAATAGTTTTGACTGAGTACCAGATGAAGAAGTTCCATTATGTACTCGATTGGTGGTCCCGTGTATGATGTTGATGATGCCAGTATCCTCCGCATGGCGTTGATGCCCGTATCGTGTGGAATGATCGTATATAGGCTTTTTACATCGCATGTTATGAAGGTGATGTCGTGCTCCAGTCCAGTCAATTGTTGCAGTAATTTGAGAAGACTTGGAGTGTCTTTGATGCATGTGGGTAATTCCTCAATAGGTTGCTTAAACAAGTAGTCCAGCCATTTGGCTGTTGGTTCTAGTGCCCCACCTATTGCTGAAACAATGGGTCTTCCTGGTGGTGATTTGGGATCTTTATGTATCTTTGGCAGCGTATAGATGACTGGCGTCTTTGGGTTCTTCTGTAGTAAAAAATCATAGAGCTCTTGGGTGATAAAGGTGGCTTCCAGACCTCGTTGCAAAATATGTTGAATGTTTAGCATAATTGTTGTAGTAGGGTCAGCGGCTAGTTTAGAGTACGTGGTTGCATCCCCAAGTTGTGTAAGGATTTCTTGTCTGTAGTCTGTATAGTTTAACAGCACTATTCCACCGCCCTTGTCTGCTGGCCGAATGATAAGGTTGGGGTCTTTGGCTAGTGAGGTTATACATTTTCGTTCTTCTTTCGTGATATTGGTTTTCCGTTTGGTTGGTTGATTAAGGTGTAGTTGGGTTTCAAAGTTTAGGGATTTCAAGAACGTTTTGATAGTAGGTTGGTTGGGTATAGGATCCCAGGTACTCTTGGCTTTGAACCTGTTAGTTGGTAGGCTGGGTGTGCTCTGTTGTTTGAAGAAGTCCTTCAGTCTTAGTGTTCTCCCAAATTTATATATTTCTACTTCCTGAGTAAGAGGATTGGGGTGAGTAGTAGGAACAAAGGATAGGCCTTTCATCAGGAGATTGTTCTCCAGGGTCGTGAGTTGACGTGAAGATAGGTTGAAGATTGGTGCTATCTCCGGCGCGGTGGTCTGCCTCTTAGCCCAGTATATCCTACCCTTCTGTCCTCTTCTTGTAGTGTATCGTTTTCCTCAAGGTCTTACACTTATGATTTACATATCAGTCATTCTCCCTAGTAAGCATTATTGTGTATATATTCATGCATGTAATTATTGTAATCACTATGGTTGTTTCACATGTGATGTGGATGTTAATTATGTACTAGGGGACATTATGCATGATATGTTAGATTTATTCCATCCAACTGCAGACATATAAGTTTATACTCATGCATATTCCTTCTGATGTTTTGTCATATGGTATGTGGATGTTTATTAGGCACCTTGTAACATTATGCTAGACACGCTACCATAGTGCAACCAGGTACTGCACATCCATCTTAGGCTCAGTGAGCTAACTATCTAAACACAGCATGCGGAATTAGCTAACATGATCTGCGTTGTTTTTTACCTTTGTCGATATCTAACGTGTGTATTCATACTAGAAATATATGATCATCTTGTGCAAAGGGATCCCTACAATAGTCCTGCTTTCCCTTTAACTCTATCAGCACCACAAACCATTATTTAGTGCCTACTAGGGATAAGACTTGTCTTTCCTATATATACACATCCTCAGTGTAGCACTGACCTTGGAGTAAGCTCTTCCCTAGTACTCCTTTAAGCCATTAGGCAGCAAGACTTATTCTGGTCCTGGCCCCATTTACCCATGTCATAACCCATGGGTACCCCCCATCGAATACACTACCCCAGAGCTCTCCTCTTCACACGTTTTCCCCATGCTTAGTCCTTCCTAGAACCTGTTTCCTGATAAGGATTGGCTAATTTTCGCCTTCCTTGTCCCTTTAAACATCATCCCCTCTCCCCTTTTCCCTTTATGTTATGTCACTAGACCAGTAGATTCTCAGTGCGATCGTACGCGCATTCTTTCCCTTTAGAGGTTTCCATACTCCCCCGCCCGGCAAGACTCTCACGGCAGGTTGCCATAGCAACACATAAACAAATCTAACTGCGTTCCAGCCGACGGTCTCGGCACCCGTCAGAACGCAAGGTCAGCTACACGATCCAGCTGCAGAATACACTTACAGAGGTTAATTCTACCCGCGTTTTTTTGGCGGTTTCCAGGGGAACTACACTGGGAGAGGGGTAAGCACCACCTGTATACAATACACTGCACTAATGTAATATGTATCTTTTTGTTATTTATTTGTTGTCTTTTACAATGCACCTTATCCTGACGAAAGTTCTGTAATAGAACTGAAACGTTGACATTTTGTGGCAGTTGCTGAATAAAAGCGAAGTTATTTTTTTCACCATATTCTTATGAAGTCCTTAGAGTGCTATTTTCTACTTTCCTGTTTATATAATTTTGCTTGACTAGCACCGGGCTCTATTATAAGACTACTGGAGTGCAAGCATTTGGACATTTATATATATATATATATATATATATATATATATATATATTGTACTGTTCTCTTAACAGTTACATAGGAGGAAACAAAATATAGAATACTGATACCAGTGCCTGTGGGTATTACCATTAATTCCCTGCTGAAAACTTCAAAGATGGAGTTAATCTATAAACACCTGAATTGAATAATTAATTAAAATACATCCTGGAATTTCAGTTGTTTCATTATTTAGCTTTCTGGCCAACACACGTATATTTCTGATTCTGAAATAGACTGCCAATATCAAAAAGAATTAGCAACACTGTTTTATTTGATTGGATTCCAAAACAAATCCCCATATTGTGTGGTCTTGGAGCTATATAAGATCTAAATTTAAGGTGCTTTAGGAGTGATTCAAACGAGATTATGATTCAGCTGCTGAGGTTTAAATGCATTGGTGTGCCATCTGTCTAAAATTTACAGAAACAGAATAATGATATATCTGACTGTACATTATACAGTGAAATTCAATTGAAAGTAACACACACCATAACTATTACCATTTTAGAACAGTTTGACTTCTTACTTGGGGTATGGCAGGTGCAACTCCCTCTGAGCTAAGCCAGGTGCTCTCAGACACTTTTAGCCATGCAATGGGCTTAGCTTAGGAAAGTTAACAGAAGCTCCTCAGCAGGGCATTCCTGTTCTTCCGTAACTCTAGAAGTGGCAGGGAAACAGTACGAAGCGGACTCCAGGTAAGGAGTCAAGCTGTTTTAAAATGGTTTAACTACTAATGGTTTAACTCTGTACAATGGGGAGAAAGAGCAATCCTGGGACCATAACCTCTACAGTGTGCTGTAGTGGTCATAGTGTTTGGAGTGCTCCTTTAATGTCAATTTCTCCCAATTGCATATGTAGTTTTTGTTTTATAATTAAGCATGCATTGTAAAGATAAATCTCAGTGTATCCTTGCTGGTAAAATATTTTATAAATAAATAAATAAATTATGAGTTATTCATTACTATTGTTTTTGGGAATAATACACTTTGCCTATATTTACCCAGAGCTTAAGATACAGATGACAGGATGTTCAGTCTGTTTGAAATGATTAAACAATGTCAGCTATTTGCAATAAGTTATTTTATCTATATCCAATGCTTAGTGAATATACCCCTAGATAATAAAGGGCTGTATAATATCATGTAACAAGTAATAGGTGTTAAATGTTGTAGAACATCATGTATCAAGCCACAGGTGTTATATCCTGTATTCTTCTGTCTGTCTGCCTTATTTCCTGTTTTTCTCCCTTTGATCATAACTGCATAGTGATATGATTTTATAACTGAGTAGTAAATATCTTGCGCAGGCATATAACTTTGGAGTACGTGGTTATAGTGAAATTTAGCTTTGTGCAAGGTCCGAACATGAAGATACACCTGCAAGCTTGCTATAGGTTAAGATGTGAAGATAAGATAGATGATTTTGTTAGGATTGGATAATGCTTGTAACGACCACCCCTGTTTCCTCTTGAACATAAACTGTTACACAGCTCACTAAAGGCTGAGAAGTCACTTTGAACCTTGCATTGTCTTGTCTCGTTCATTGGGGCTACTCACCAGCTGGTTTGGGGACAAGGATAAATACAGAGAGTTCCAATTGATACAAAAGACCATAGCAAGGGAAAATTCCTGACAGAGAAAATTCCTCACTATCAATTGTCAACCCATTACTCCTATTGGCTAAAATAGAGATATGATAAAATGTTCATATGCAACTGTGTTTGTGAAATCGAATTGAGCTAACCATACATGCAGCTATTTCCACTTAATCAGTAATGCCTGTCATATCAAGCATCATAAAGAAGAATGGGTTTAGCACTTTATTGTATATGTCATCTATTTACTTTTAATCATTTTGCCATTAAGTGTATCAACATATTTTTTTGGTGATTATATGTAAGTTGTGCTTTAGTTACCACCATTTTACTTGTGAAAAATGTTGTTTGAACAACAACTAAAACCACTTGATGCCCTTTGTGATGACATGCAGACATGTAATGTTTGTATTGTTATTGTTAGACTTACAGTACACTTTATGAACGTGGGCTAAAATGTAGCTAGAATGCTTGGTTAAGGTTCATAATGGTGCACTCATTTATTTTATTATAATTCAGCTAAAATTATTCATAATTAAACATGCAGAAACATACCACTACTTATATCAGGTCAAATGCATACTAGTTATATTGTCGCCCTTTTAACATATAAAAAAGTAAAAGATGAAATAAATTAAATTTCAGTGGCTGTTTTCCGTTATTTTATAGGATGTGTTTTCTCCCTTCCCTGACCAAGGTGCACATTGTACTACACCGAAACGCGAGTCAGGTGTTTTTTTTGCAGTGTGTATAGGGCACTTATCACTATGCACTATAGGATGTCTATCTGATTTATAGACATGCCCCACGCTCACTAGTTTTTTATTTTTTATTTTATTTTTCACT